TCTACATATTTATTTTTGCACTTTTTATACTCTAACAAATATTTTCTTCCGTACTATTCACTATAAAGTTTATTTACGAAACACGTGTAATACACGTATCAAAAGATTAAAAATATACGACTAATTATTTGTTTTCATATTTGCGTACACGGATATAAAAAATCTTCATTTTGCCTATAAATACATAATTAAAGAGAAATATAAAATTGTTTGTGAAGAAGAAAGCAAAATAGAGAAAGAGAATATTGTTACCCCAGAAAGATGGTGTCTATTAGAACACACATTCTTTTTTTACTAAATCAACTTTTCTAAAATACGCTATAAATATAAAAATAAAATATATATAAAGAAAATAATCAGAAATTATCATTTCTCACCACTAACGTGCTTAAAATAATAATTTTCAAGTTTCAAACTTAAAATAATAATTTCTACGTTTCATAGTAATTTTCAACAATACAAAGCGATGCCAATCAACAGCAATTTTATTATTATATCGTCATTAATCGTCGTTACTGTACCAAAAAAATATTTTCTAATTCTGAAGAATATACTACACCCAAGAACACGTTCATTTTTATAAACGCTATCAACATGAGAAACCGAAAAATGCGAACGGAAAGCTATTCCGCGATTATTCTTATCTTAGAGAAGTTAAAATTTGCTAAAACAGCAATGGTAACTTGTCTGCAACACGTCAGACGAAGGAAATCCAACCGTGGGAATTCAATTAATTCTCCCCGATATTCGTTCACTTTCGTCTTCGCCCGTTAAAATACACGAACGATTGCAATCGCTTGTAAAAGTTCTTTTTCCGCCGTCGCCTTTTCTTTATCTCCTTTTTTTCCCAATCTAGAAGTAACCAGTGAGTTCGTTCCTTTATTTAAGGTCCATTGGTATTCTGAATTTAAAAGAAAAGCGGAGAAAGAAGAGAGAGGAAGAATGAAAGAACAATGAGGAAAGAACGGTTCGCGAGGATCAAGGATAGCGTGGATCAGAAATCGGAACGAAATCTGGATAATAGCGAATCGTTGAAACTCGTGGCATGGTCGGTACAGTTGTATGCAAATGAACGACATACGTCATCAATATGCACCTAGGAAGTTGAATTATTACGTGGATGAAACGTTTCTCATGATGATTTCCAATGAAGTTGAATTGGGTCATTGATTTGACGCATTACAAAGTTATGGTATTTCGTATCCATTATGCTTAATAATACTCAAATGGAAAATTATGTTGTTTGTATAAACGTACATAATAGAATTATGTCGTTTATTAGTGTTTCGAATCGCTATTCTATCCAATTTATCGTGCTTTGGAAATGTGAATATTTTACGTTTTCCCGAGTAGCAGTGTTTGGAAACTAAATTCGTGATTTTTTTAGTTTTATCGGTTTTATAATGCCCTTTTTCTGTATTATAACTATTCCTTGAAAAACCGTGCTGTTTTGTAGCTTTCCAGCATAACAAAGGTAAGCTAAACACCGTACTACAATTGGAAACTACAGAAACTCTTGATGTAATATTAAATTAGTGCTAAAGTGGAAGGATGTTGACCTTTGGTAAGGAAATAGGTGGAACCAACTATGTTGTTCAACTAAACATTCAACTGTACTTATGCTCCAATGTTCGATTGACTAACTATAAACTTAAAGTTATAAAATATCGACGTTTCAAACTCTGTATGAAACTACCTTACTTTTTAAAATAGACAGTGAAAGATCGCAAGAGTAGCACAGATAAAATAAAAATTTTCTAATTAATACATAAAAATCTTAAATATATATTTGATCAACTTATCTACGTTAAAATCTACTTAAAAATATATATCATATATATACTATGTTTGTCGGAGTACTCATAAAGAGTTTGAAACTTTCCAGTCGGATTCGAAAACATTTGCACTACGCTCAATCCCATTTCTAATATTGGATCTTGAACAATGGACTATAACTTCATCATTTCAACTTTATCATTTGCTGTACTATTTCAGCAGTACGTTTGTCGAACAACTAACTTGGACTAATTGTTATCGAAGGACGTTTCATCCTGTTTCACATGGCATTTAAATCCTTCGCAAGAATAGAAAAAATTCGTGTCTTACTTCCTCGCTGCTTGCATCGTCTACGATCTTAATTTATCAATCGAGACCAACCACACGTAGAAACCAATCTTTCCTTTTGTCAACACGAAACCTCATTACCGACGTTTCGCATGTGGAATGCGTGGTGTGCAACGCGTCTAGACAAACCGAGTAGTATAGATGGCAGGTGTCTGATGCGGATAGACCGCGGAAGAGTAAATTTGTGAAGCAAGCAAAATTTAATTCGCTATTCAATGCATGGGCATAACGTGTGTCATCTATCATATACGTTTACGAAGGGAGAAGCCGCTTAACTGTGCCGCCCGCAGCTTTTGACACATTCCTTACTGATCCATATGCCTTTGTACCATATACGAACCCCTGAAAGCCTGCTTCGCGATACCGGCATGATCGATGTTGAAGATTTCCGCCAACGTGTAGTCACACAATACCTAACCATTGCTGTACGCGTTGCTTCTATTCCAGTCCGATGCTAGGTGAATTAATTTCCGGTTGTCTTGCGCAATCTTAATCATTCAGTTCTGCTCAAATTATTTTACTCCGAAGAAATTTGACTTTAAAGATTATCCTGTCCTGTAACTTCAACCGATAGAAATAGAATTTGAGGCTGTGAAATTTTTCGAGTGTTAGAGATGGGCTCTATTCGAGTTTGAGGACGCGAAACGTTGCTTTGCTTCGGAGCAATTTTACTTTAGAAATTACTCTATTTTTTAATCTCAAATGGAGAAATCGGAATTTAGTGTGGATCTTTAGTTATAAATGACTGACTGCAGTTTCAGATGTTGGAAATGCGAAAATCAGCTAAGTGTCTGTCAAATGTTGTTTGAGAAGTGCACGACTAATATTTTCTGATATATAATGATTTTCTCTCATTGGATCACTTAAAAAATATGTCTCAGTGAAAATATCGTGTAGATATATGTGACTTGTCGTCAGGAATCAATATTGATCTGTGTTAGGGCAGATACTATAATCTGTACAAAACTGGATAATATATTACAATGCAATATGTAAAATGAAAACGTGAGTGCGATTTCAGCACTGTCTTAGGCCAATCAGCAGGAGATTCACTTTGTAGAACTACTTTCAAGTAGAAGACCCTGGTTTTAGGTAAACGTGACTGACTATTTCCGTCTGAACAATACTGGAGATCTCTATAGTTTGCTTAAACGAGTGAAAGACTGTGCAAAATAAAAGAAAGTTAGAGTTTATCAAATAAAATTGAGATATTAAAAGACTGAATTTGATGCACTTGAACATCTGACAATGACTAACACAATGACGTCTAGTAACTTTGACGAAAGTAGTGACTAGTGACGAAAGTAACTTTGATAACTTACACGTGAAATTGAAATTCCTTGCTACCAAATGAACTAAATATTTCTATCGTACTAAGTGGATTTTCATAGTTCGTCGATTAAATTAGATGGTATTGCGTGTTACATATTGCTCGAATAATTTAGTTGAAGTACAATTATATGATAAATAGATTTTATTATCAAGAAACATGGAGATAATAGTACTTTTGACAAAAATTTTCGGATACACGTATACATTATGCATACTATATACATCCATGTAAATGTGTTATACTTTTATATAGGAAATATTAGTAAACCTGAGTTTATTTTCGAAAATGTAGCTATAACATATAAATTTCTTTTTCGTATCGTATCTCTCGTTTAGTACCGTGTACGATTAAAAAAACTTTTTTTTTTAATATAGAAATTCCCTTTCAAAAATAAAAATGATTAAAATAACAGATGTACGCGCAGTATGGAGAAAAAAAGACAAAAGGAAGGATCGAAATACATACATATTCTATCATAAAAATTTATTGTTAGTGATACGTATCGGAAAAAATATCTGCAGGTTTACAATTTTATTTAACATCTAAACAGAAAAACCAATAATGTCGTGTTCTATAAATTTTTAACTGTACCACGCTTGCAATCAATTCATGAACAATATTTCATAAACAAATTTCCTCCGCACTTTAGTAACAGAACGCATTCGTAGTAAGCCATTGAAAATATAGACAATAGAGCCTGAAATGTCTTCAAATTTTAAAACACAAGAAATGTAAAACTATTGAAACTCTAATATAAAGAGCGTCTTTACCCAAGAATCTGATTGTTCCCAAAATTATTAAATACTCGTATCTTATTTTCTTCTTACCGTATATAATAGAATTAGCAAAAAAAAAGAAAAATAAAAATTTTATTTTTATATTTTATTTGTATTATTATTTTTTTATTATAGGGTAAGAATGATTAATGATTTCGAATACGTACATGTCAAGTTTTTCCATCGTCATTTCAAATTACTCCGAAAGCTGTATTCTCGTGAAATATACGATTTTTATGAAATATCAATTTTCGAAGCGATAAAAGTTGTAGTTTGCAAATAATTGTCAGCCTTTCAAATTGACTATTATCCTTTGAAACTACCCCTCGAATAATTAAAAAGTTGTTCAGAACGTAGTACACCGATCGTATACGTGTATTATCAGACATTAGTCTATCTAATGATAGTTAGAACGTGGAAAAGGTAACGCAGTTATCCCTAATCATTATAATTATACTCATAAATAAGAACGTTTCTCGATCGTACTTTCTGTTTTTCCTTCCCACCATACTATTCTCCCGTGTTATCTAAATTTCATCTTAGCTTTCCCCTTTCGAAGCTACGGAAGTGCTTGTCCGGAAACTTCTGCACGCTACGCGATGTTAAAGAATATTTCTTGGAAAAAAATAAAAAATAAAAGTTACATGATATCGTCTTCCACTTCTCTCCTTTTTTTCTTAAGGAGGAAGAAAAATATATAATAAACCTTATCTATAATAAGCTAATGTGGACTTAAGGTAAATTTAAAAATTAAAAAAAGTTGAGAAACATTTCTGTGAGAAAAAATGAAAGTTACGCGATATCTTTCTTTTATGTCCTAGAATTCACGCTAGGAAAGTATAATAGATGGAACACATAGAACAACACATAGAAAAAGATTTATAAACGAAAAAGATTGAAAAATATTTCTTGGGAGAAAACAAAAATGACGAAATACCATTCCCTGTTTCTTTTTTTTTCTTTATTATTATTAAAACGCAGATTACAAGAGTACAAAATAAATCTCACGTGTACTAATCCAAATGTGTGTATAAGCTACATTTGTAAAAAAATTGAAAAATATTTCTCTGCACAAAAATAAAACATAAGTTTAGAAAATTAAAAATATACCTTACATATAAGAAATCAAGCAATAAGTGAAATTTATAAATAAAAAAAAAACAAAAACATAAGAAAATCGACTAAGAAATAAATGAAATAATTATGTGAGTCGCTTAACGTGGTCCGTTTTCTGTCGTGAACTCTTGATGAAACCAAGGAACTCCAATTCGGCGACTGCTTGAGTAAAACGAGCTCTAAATCTCCGTTAAGGATACCGTGAACCATCATAAAATTCACACGTGTTCCCGTGTGAATTATTCAAACAAGAGGCATACGATCCCGGCGAGTAACCACTACGAGCTTACGATTTCACCATTACGAGCTATGATATGAATTTCAAACGTACCGCGGTTAGACAAATCTTCGTACGTTCCATTACTCCTGAATCGTACGGACGTGAGAAAACCTCTAAATGAAAAAGGATACTGTAATTTTGGGTCCACGTCCCGTTGTTCCTTTGTACCGCCCACTGGATCCACGATAATTAAAAATGCCTGCAAGATTATTATGACTATTTGTGGTAGCTACAAGAGTATCTGTTTTAGAGCTAGAATGATATAGCTTTCTGCCCGATACAAGGATGTTTGAATTAAAGCAGTAGATGCAAGAATCTAAAGATAATGTTTAATCTAAAGCCTGCATTTCTAATGTGCAAAGAACGACATTCTAATTTAAGAGATTACAAAGTCTTTTTCCAGAAGATAGTCGCATTTTGGATGCAATTATTTTCATAATATTCAATTTATTCAATTTATTTTATGATACTTTAATGATTTTACAATATTCTACCAACTATAATAAAGAGCACATTTTTATTTTTATTCGATTCATGCTCGAAAAGAAATGCGATGAAGAGATGGATAATATAGTCGTACAGTATCAAATAAAAATGACAGAGTCTTAGGAAATTATAGTAGAAGTGTCATTCATTTAAGGGGCTTAAATCAAAAGAGGTTTCATAGAAAAGCTTATTCATCCTTAAGAATATAAATTTCATAAGCATAAACAATATTCAATAAACAGAATTGTCCTGCACATTTGAATTTTTTTAATTACCATCGATACATAATAATAATCGATATGTAATAAATATTGTATGTAAGTCAGCGAATAAACAAAGAAAATTACCAAACAAAATAGTGTTCGTGCATATTATTGTTTAAAATAGTTCATAGTCAATTAACAATTAATTAAATTATTCTTTCGTTAAATACGAATTTCAAAGGAATATTTAGTAAAAAGAATTGTATGAAGTAGCCGAGTATTTTTAGCGTAATAAGCTGTATCTTAAAAGCAAACAGGAGCCTGTTACACCATTAAAAGCCTGCCTTTCTATGCGAATGTGGCTTAACACCTTACGGACCGTGGTCGACGACCGTGAAAATGGAATTCTCGGAAAATGCTCCTGTCTCCAGTCATTTCGCTATTTCGTGGCGTAATTTTTTCGTATTCGTATAAAGGAACATAAATGTCGGGGATTAGACGACGCAAAAGTGCTTGGATTTATGATTTCACACGTAACGAGATAAAATGTACTTTGCAACAAATGAAACGAAATAATTAGAATATTAATTTTATCTGGAATATTTTATACAAAATATCATGAAACTTTTCATATAAAAACATGTACTGAATTTTTATTGCAAAATCGAATATTATTTTTTGCTGGTAATTCTAATATTGTCTATGTTTACTGTATAATATTATTGAAGCTTCCACAAATATTTCTTTTTTTTTTAAATTTTATATCACGAGAGCAGAAATAAATCAATATACAAACTAAACAAAAATTACGATACATTCGTTTTTTCTACCCCGATGAAATAGAATAAAATGCGTCGCTACATATATGTAAATAAACAAGCACGTGAACTTATACTATAACATTGAGTTAAAACTTTATGCTAACGTAACATCGAATCATCGTATTATATTTGCATTAACGTAAAATAGATTTATGAAATAAATATAAAATTAACAAAATTCTTTAAAAACTTGACATATGTCATCAATATCCGTAAAAATATTCTGAAATATATAATACGTTGGAAATAATAGAAATATCGGGTTCTACCAAAAAACGGACATTCATATTAAAATATCAATAAATAACAACTAAACAAGTCTAATATTCTAATTATTTTCCATCACAAAATCAAATAACTTTCATCTGAGAAACTTTTCCTTGATCTTTACTTATATATATATATATATATACGTTTTCTATTCCATTCAGGAATGTATCAACAATCTCCATATATTTCTAAATGTAAAAATACTTGCAGAAATCACTTATATTCATCAAGCAAAGTAATTACAGACAAATATGTAGGGATATTAAATCATTTGAAGGAAAGAGTTTAATCTCAATTACACGAAGCAATAATTTATAAAAGTATATTATCGTGTACTATCTCTTCCATCTTACTATTTCTTTAACAGCTCCGCGTAATTTAGAGATCACTTACGTATGCATATACCTTGACTTTAATTTCCTTTGTCCAATGCTTACACCAGGTGAATTTCCAAGCTCTTAATGACCGCGAAAAAATAAAACAACCCTCAGCCCCTTTCTAGTTCGACCCCATTTATAACACAGCGCTCGCGTGAATCACTCGTTCGCTAGTCCGATTAAAATCACAAAACGAACGCATACAGTTACTCACGAAAGTATTCGAACACTTCTAGAAACCTTTTATTTACATACTGTCTTACATAATATGTATTATGTTATACAAAACACTTTGAAATTTCATTAGATTTCATTCATCGAGTAATGAAACACAAATAATGAGACACGATTTTCATGACTATATGATAAAATTTGCAACAAATCTGAAAATGCACCTAGAAGCTACAATATATTTATTGCAAATATACCTATATCTCGCAGAGGTCACAAACATTTTTAAACACTCAATTATCCATTATATTAATAAGCCTTAACATTCTAATTTCCTACTAAGTATATGTTTGCAATAAGTATCTTTTATCTTCTATATACATTTTCAAATTGGTTTCAAGTTTGATCAATATAATCAGTACTGTCGTGTCTCATTACTGTGCTTATGAATATTTTAATTTTCCATCATAGAATCAAACAACTTTCATTTGAAAATTTAATGATATTATTATTTAAAACAAAAAAAATGTAAGAAAATATTATTTTTAAATGTTTCATAAAACGTATACGATATATAAGTGCACAGAAATTTTTCATGGTAATTGTGCAACTACTTTCGTGAGTTACTCTATGTATTAATCTGTAAACACAAACACGGAACAGATTGTTACCTGTAACCAGTCGTACATATTGATCAGCTTCCTGGATTCTAAGTGCAACTTGTAAATTATACTGAGGTCAGGCAGCGTGGATGGGATGGCGTCGTCGTTCTCCAATTTGCAGCACTCGCACTGAAATATGTATTTCCAATTAACTTCAACGTGCAAGACAGAGACCTCGGCATCGTTTCCCATTACGAAAAATCTATAATCGATATCCAACCACTGATAGAGGGTGAGGACGATAGCATCGGAAGAATCGTAAGCCACAATGAACACACGAACAGAGGGGAACGAACGTTCGTTCAAGTCGCGAGTCTTCCAGACGAAACCAATTGAATGAGGATCACGAACACTTCTTAACGAATTATATTTCGAATGGTATGCAGAAATGATCTACACAGACAATTCATGGAAGAGGAGAAGATATTTCTCTCGTAAAATATATGGGGAGATGATTTTTATGATTTCTTGAGTGAAGAGTTTATTGAAGTACCGTGTTTCTGATTCCTCATGAAAATAATTTCATACTCTCAATTAATTACTTTGAAGATAGTACGGAATTCTAGATAATGGTATTATGAAATATAATTATGAATCTAGTACTATAGAATTTTAGTATAGAATTTTCGACATTCTAATGTTAATAAATTCATCCAGATAACATCGTGTTTTCAAAGCTTAATTTTATTTACTTTAATTAAACTCATGCAACATGCACACCACAAACATCACAAAAATTATTTCTGTTTCACTTACATTTAAGTACACATGTGGATCGTTCAATCCTGTGTGTATCGCTGCTCTCAAAGATCCACGAACATGTTGTTTCGCTAAATTGCCATCATTGAAGCAAAATATCTCGTTCCCAGGTACGTAATGAGGATTGATAAGGTATACAGAAAACACTTTTTGATCTAAATAATCGATCAAATCCTGTTGAGCTATCTTATAGGGCGATCGAGATTGTGTTTGGGACATTTTCAATAATTTCTACAGCGGAACACAAAGCAAAATATTATAATTTTCTTGTTTTTTCAGAATACACGCGTCAGCTGAAAAACGTTGAATTTTATTCCAAACCTCTTTCAATTGAAGTCGACTGAGTTTTTCACCGGTAGAAACGATATCGACAGGTTTCGAAGCTACTTCTAAACTAGCTTCCTCGATTGTTTTTATACGGTCCTGTAGATCTACTTTAACTTTCTTCATAATTGAGTCCTTCGAACTTTCCATAATTGTTGTAAAAGAGTTCAATTTTTCAAGAAATTCCTTCTTGGATAAAAAACTTAGCAATTGCAGGCATTCTTTGTACTCTTGAGATTCTCTCAAATCACTCATATAAACTGCTTTTGTGTAATATTCACGTAGCTAAAATGGTATTAAACTAAATCTAAAAAGGAGATTCTTTAAATCCTCCAAACTTTGTCGAAACGTATTGAAATTTTATTGCATATAGATTAGGTACACTATTCTGAGAAAAATATTAATTTTTTATTAGGTTGTACCTGTTTACCCATTGGTGCATTTGGTAATGTCGACATGAGATCATGCAGGCACTTGAGTACTAACAAAAATCGGTGCATATATTGGTGGAAATTATTTAAGAGCTGCATTAGCATTTCCTATAACAAGATCTAGGTATAAATCTGTGTTAACTTTATATATGTATGATTTTTATCAATATCATGACTTTTTTATATATTTTATAAATTTCTCAATAATTCTTACTTTCTATTATATTAGGATATACATATAATTTTGCCAAATAGCGATACTATGCATGTAAGAGTTAAATATGTAAGTATAAAGCCGTACCTTAAACCTGTTATTATTAAGCAATTCATCTTTGTTTTTATCATTCGTAAGTTGTCTAATATATTTTTCTATAGAAGGCAATTTTTTAATTTCCTCCCAATCCTCATCTGTTAAAGAAGAAATCCTGCTTTTTATCTTTTGCGGTTGACAACAAAGAGAATTTATATTGTTTGCGTAAAAATGTTGTATCATACATATCTAAAAACGTAACGATAACTTAAACGAAAAATCGGATATAGGAAATAAAAAAAAATTGTAAACAAAGAATGAAGTAAACCAATACCTTGTAACTGTGTAAAAAATTCTCTACCGAAAAATCATAAAACAAAAAGATATCCGTTAAAAATTGAAACGCGCGTCCAGTCAATTTAAATGGGATATTTGTACAAAAAACAGTCTTTTCTAACACGTCTGACAAAATATTAATTTGTTTTTGCATATGGAATACCTGAACAAAAATTATGAGTTTAAAAAGTGACTGTATTTTAGAAATTTCTATATTTTATTATCTTCTTTATTATATTTATAATTCTATGATGCATTTATTGCTTACTTGAACATTCAATTTTGATGTAACATCATATGTTAAAGATCTATGGATGGCATGTAAAGTAGTTGCAACACCAAAAATAAGAATAAATTTCATTGAATTGACATATGAACTGAAAGATATAGAATATTAATTAAATAAGCCACCGATGAGTCTGTAACATTCCAATATACAATCAAGAGACTCTAATACCTCAGTATTAAAATAAAATCATGCAGTACTGCAGGAGAAGAACTTTCAAAATCAGTTATCATTATAACCAGAGGATCATTTCGATCACAATTTTCTTGGTGCCATAATTTTAGATTCCTCATATGACAGTGAGTTTTCTTAATTTGTATATCTTCATCATCCTACAGATAAATATACTACATGTAACATCTAATACTGCATATTTCTAATAGTTTGGTAACTGCGCTAACTGAAGTAGTACCTTTTCATTATTCATCAACTGATAAATTGATTCTTCTGTGAGATTCTTTATATTATTCGAGTCTCTACCCCATATAACAGCGATATGATTTGTTATTGGTTTTAGCTTAGAAACTACTCTTTGAAACATTACCTTGTGATCAGAAACATTAATTCCTGCAATGCCAATAGTTTCATAAATCTGGTCATTAAATTTAAAAAAATGATACATATATATTCAATTATATTACCAGTTAATAGAATAGCTGTCTGTATCTCATTCTGAAATTCCTCTATTGGTTTATCTTTAACCTTGGAAACAAAAGATTGTAAGTCATCTAAAGCTTGTTGAAACATATTGGACCTTATAGCCTATAATTTTAAAAGATCTTATTGATGCAATAAATGATGATAACGAAATGACTCTTGTGTATTAGCATTTAATATAGAAGAAATACCTCTATAGCATTTTGAATGCTTTCCCATGTTTCTTTATAAGTAAGATACCATGATGCATTTAAATAATCTGGTGGTTCAAATTTTGTTTGTTTATTCCCGATCTTATAAGCACCTTTGTGTACAAAGACACCCTAGAAGTATTTTAATATTCTTTAATAAAGTGTAAAGATTTTATAAGAAGGTTATAACTTGAAAAATAAATAACATATATAATAAACAATGACTTTGTCCACATGTTTAAATTTATGAAATGTTAAAAGAACAAAATAATCACTATGCCTAAAAATTATCACAACAAAATTAAACTTATTAAATTATAATGTTTTAAATCAATGTTAGGAAGAGAAGAGCAGTACATAGATAGAACTTATAATTATTTAAAATTACAATATTAAATTATCTTGTACAAGTATCAGCTAACTCAACCATATGATGTACAAAGTACCGCGTCTGCACGTTGAGGTTATGTAAGTAGAAGCAACAGGTGTACTGTACCTTTGATACTGATACGTTGTCCATATTATCCAAGAAATGTTCATAAAACCATATATTTTAATAAAATGACCAAAAACTATTCCAATCACTAAAAATCATGTCATTAATATGGAAAGCACAGAAACACTTCACACGTACCCACTAGCTGATCACAACTGTCGCACTGACTAGTTTCAGAGACGATCCTAGAGTGCGCTAATCATCAGCGCGCTTGTCTTTATAAATTTAAATCACCCAGTTTCTTTAATTCATTGATTACTAATTGTAGATCACTGAAATTCTTTTAACTATTTTTCCGTATTAAATCAATGTAATTTTTTCAAGCTACATTTAATCAAGATTAAAAATTAATTATTAACTATCTAAAATTTCTCTGATAAATGATTTTGCTAATTTAAAAAAACAAAATCTCGTATTATATTACATATCCTATTTTCTAGGAGGATTTCTTAGAAATTGCCGAAGATTTATTCTGGAATAGGCAAGACAATAAATAAAAGAAAGTCTACCGCTTCAAGTAATTTCGAAACATTTCTTAATAATAATAACCATCCTCATTAAGCGCAACATTACTCTGAATATTCAGTTGCACGCGGTGCTTCATGCAGTACCATATTGCATTTCGCATCATACACGTATTAAAGATAATTTGAATCAACGTGTTCGCCCTGCAAATGACCAGCACACTTACAACCAACGCAACGCGAGTAGTGTAACCAGAGGCGAGGGTGGAATTTTGAAAATTTGGCCCTACCAGGAGCCTAAGGCTGGGTAATTGTGATATTCGAATTTCACGAGCGTAAGCTGCCCCGATCATCATCTGAATCGCAAATGCGCCGATTGAATTCGCCGAGCAAACAATCCGGAAACCGAGAGTTTGATGCCACGTTTCCGTGCGGAGGGCAATGGAGAGGAGGGCGTTCGCCGAACTTTCGTTAGTTTCGAACTGGTAGGGGTGGAAGTGTGCTACTTGCTCGCCGAACTTGCCTGCCAGGAACTCGTAATTGATTTAAAGAAGTGTCCAAACAAGATGCCATACCCCGTGCCTCACAGTGTACTGAAATATCCTCGCTGGTATGCGCCCGTGTAAACGATCGTGCAACGACCACTGAAATCGAAATTATTCCGAGCTCGCCAAGTACATTTCAGCATTTCTATGAGCTCCGCCGGAAGTCTGTTTGTTCATCCATCTTTCCTCAAAATTTCATCCACGAATACATGTTGCAAATCGGCCTGCACTGAATCCACACGAACGGTTGCATTGGCGGGAATTTGGTCTTGAAATGTATGGTTTTAATACCATCAAAGTTCAATTGTTTGATATTTCTGCTAAATGATACATTTATAGGAGGACAACAACAGGTTTTGGATGAGAGATATTAATTTTGCTGACTTGTAGGTTTTTATGTTGTCAATATAAGTACTGTTAGCTCAAAAGAAATTTAGTCCTAAAAAGTATTTGAATATGTTAAAACAAAGACACAGCGAAGAAATTGATCGATTTTATCGGAGATAAAAGTAAAATTAACTTCAACTGATGACGCGGTAGCATAAAAAGGATTTATATAGTAACATCTAAATATATCTGCTTTCAGCCCATAACACAACTTTTCAAAAAACATTCTCCAAAAAGCTATCAAACGAGAGGAGGAAAGCAAGCAAAATCTCTCGATAAAAACTACACAGATTTTCCAACTTACATAGATATCCTCTTCTACTAGGAAAACATTTACCGACGATCCAATCAGTATCGAAAGAGAATCCCGATTTCGCCTAGCTCCCAACGTTTTCGACTACGTAGGTTTATCGTGTCACCGCTAAGCCAAGCCACTTCTGACACTTTTCCCGCGTGGCATGCAAACGGTAGCTTGTTTTATTTCTTTTTTTTTTTTTTTTGTTTCATGGTTAATCCAGCAATGCGTTATTTTCTTTGTTAACTGATGCTTCGAAGCAGATTTCGAAAAGCAGGCTTTCAGCTACAAGCTGGCCGACGCGCAGCGAAAGCATAGAAAAATAGGTTTTTTGGCGAGAGAATATAAATCGATTGCGCAAGCAGCTTTGTACGAATGTTCTCGTTTTGTGGTCGGCCATCGCACCTGTGCCCCAAGGGGTTTCTTGCCGGAAAATAAATGGGATTCGATCGAGGACTTAATCATCCGCCTTCGTTGAAAGGGATGTCTGGGACAAAACGATGCAGAGATCGGGGAGGGAGAGACCTATTGATCGTTCAATGGAACATATTTGTCTAGATTTTTCGATCGTCGTACGTACAATTCGATGCCCACGATGAATAATGTCTCTGCTTTTATTTCATTCTACCCCCTTGTTCACGGTGTAATTCAACGGTATCAAAGATTTCCTTGTTCCTACTAGCTGCAGATAAACGTGGAAATGTATCAGTTACGTGCCTAAATTTCTTTTACCTCCTGTACTTTTCTGTCTCAACATCGTCTGGAGTTTTAATTAGGCTATAATTCTAATAGAATATCGATGAAATTTACACCCTTTGAAATTTTATTAAACGCTTTGATAAGTATGAATCTTGATAACCATCTTAATGAAAGTTTAATAGAAATTTTAATAAACTTGAGGAATTCGATTTTACATTAAATTTTACATCTTTATGTCATTATCATAGAGGTATAGAAGTTACTTATAATTAGTAATTTTATTTATCGAATAAATTATCTTATAAAAATTAACGAATATTGTAATTTTGGATTTCCATGTTCAAATTCATGGTTATCCTTCATAAATTTTTGTTCATTTAAATGTTTCGCAAACGTATAAAAATTCGCTGCCCGGCCGTAACTAATCAATTCAAAGCAGCAAACCAATCTCTAAACACCTGAACTCATCGATCTGTCTTTTACACGGAAAATTTATACACCACATCATAGCCCGATTTTACAACCAAATCACACCACCCATCCACCCAACAAGTTACACTCACTATTCCGTTCTCCACGTTCGAACCACGCTTACACCTCGTCTATCACCGATGTATTTGCATGTGATCTCGTGCAAATCGATCTCTTTCCCCGAAAACGAAGGAGTCATTTTCAGATAAGTCCTCGATCGAGGTCTGTAAAAGGCGTTGATATCCTTTGAAAGAGCGTCGATTCGAGGATCTAGAAGCAAAAACGATCGCACTCACGCGAACTCGAAGAGAGTGGGGACATTTTCGCTGATGCGACGATAAAATGGTTGGCCAGCTCGCCCATCAAACGGAAAGAAACACGAGAAGCTTTTGGTCTAGGACTTGTCGAAACTGCTGTCAGCCTCTCGAACGCAGAAGGGAAAATGACACACACACACATACACACACAAACACATATCTCGTTCACAACTGATAGTTCAAGGAAATGATTCCCTCGGAACCAAGAATTTTTCTCACTAAAAAGAAGGATGAGATAAAGAAAGAATCAAGAGGAAGAAACGTTATCCAAGAGGATCACGACGTTTCTCGATTCTTCTGGAGAAGAAAACGGCAAGGCAGTTTAACGAAACACAGGACCCAATTCCTGACGTCGGTAATGAGCGCCATTGTTGTTGCTCCCATCGCACGAATTCTCCTCTCCTTTTATGCCTGAGATTGAACTTTTCTCCGCAGGATGCAGAAACGGTATCTATGTTATTGCGGTAGACAGGCGGCTAAAAAAATCTCGGGATTACGAGGACATTCTAGCCGGTAACGAGATAATAAAGAGAACAGCTTTGTAGCTTCGCGGCGAACTCTTTACCATCCCCTCTTGGTAGTCGGTTTTTCTTCCTCTTTGTTGCACCTTTTCCCTATTTTTTCTTTCGGTGCGTTTCTTTTCTTCTTTTTTTTTTTTTTTCTTTTTCAAATCCCGTTTCCGTGCTCTTGTAACTCGTGTGCTCGTTGCGCTGGAAATAAAATTCTTGTGCTCCGCTCGGTGACGAGCTCGGATTCGAGAACGATCTTTTTACGGTTTGGCTCTGGCGATGATGGAAAGAGGAAGCGACGCGTTTGATGGATTGCACCTTGCGGAAATTTGGCCTTCTACTTAGCTCCGTTGTTCACGGTTTACAGCTTTTTCTTAGTGCCGAGGTTTATTCGGGGTTTAATTGAAATTGTTAAAATTTGACGCGAAAATTGGAATTTGAATTTAATCATGTAATTATGTACTCTGACGAATGTCTTCTATATTTCATTGCTCTTTCAATCATCTTGCGTTTAATTGATATCATTCGTAGGTATTTAAAAAAAAATTGTAAAGTACAGGTCTTAGTGACTTAATTTGTTAATAAATAATATTGACGATATTCATTGAACCAAAAGTTTATGTCATAAACAATAGTTAAGAAGATTCTAAATTAATTTCCAATCAAGTTCCAATATTTTACTATTTCTTTTCGTAAATGAGTTTTCTTCGCATTCTATTCTATTCCAAATTATTAATGTAGTAGTGCACGAATATTTGTGTATTATATTCACCTCATAGTCAATGATTCAGATAATATGTATTTTTGCAATTTTTGCAAAATTTCCCAATTAATTAATCCATGGAGGAGGCTATTCTTATTGTAACTTTATTATAGAAAATATAAAGAAATCAAATAACAAAGAAATTTTCCATTGAGAGAAATAACTGTGTAATTCTATTTCCATCTAACTATGCATAAATTTTCTGTTAAAGAGAATAATAATACAATAAGAAGTATTCGTTTCTTTGTTTCAGCGAACTCTCCAAAAACGATTGAGAACCTAGGGGATTCAATCTCGTCGGAGTTGGAAGGTAATCCGCCCTTGTGGGTCACCAAGAAAACTGGCACGCATGGTCAGGAAGTCTACATAAATAATGCGAAGATCCTTATGGAACGTAGCAATTTCCAATCGAAGGTTACCGTTGCTGGCGACGTAATGACTCAGGTTAGCGTTTTATAACAGTTGTTCAATTTTTTTCAAGTCAGAGATTTTCAAATCATAACCCTAAGCCTCATTTAAACTAGTCAAATTAATAATAAATTTTAAAAGGTCAACGAATACAAACACAATACAATTTTGTATAAAGGAGAAGAATGAAAAAATTGTATTCAATATTTTATGACAATTTCACATTAAATTGTATCTGAATGTCAAGCAACCAATTATTAGATCAAATTTGTTTCAACTAGTCGAAGTTTGTCAACATTTTGTGTTGATTTTGTGAATATAGTCGTACCTCTGTAATTGTTTTGTTTGGCCAATATAATAGACAATGTTTTCATTCATCTAACAAAAACTTCACTTTCGTCAAGAATTGTAGTTACGTCGCAAAACATTCTAAAGAAGGAAAAAACACATTCGTGTCGAGAATTGTTCTACGTTTCACGGTAGATTTCTGTGGCGGTTAATTTAATCGCAAATTACTTTTTTGCGAGCGTAATCTCGCGAGTAATTAAGTTAGTTTACGCGGTGCTCCGCGTGAACATGACTTCCGGCGTTCTCGTCGCGATACTCGCGAAACTGCACCTAAGAAGTTGGCATGACGCACTTTCTCTTCTAACGAGCTTTTAATGAGCTGTACAATTCTGTCGGGGTACCAAGCCTCGTTAAATCGATGAATATCGACTCGTCTCGTCGATAAGCTCGTCGAATATTCTTCCCATCCCCAGGCGATGCTTCTTATCGACAAAGGTTTCGCTCTCTGTGAAACAGAAACGCAGCAATCCAATAAAAAATTCAACGAATAGAAAGTGGAAAGCGTGAAGGAAGCTTTTTGCAAATGCGGCTGGAAACTTGGATTACTTTGAATCTACTCATAGAATAGAGTTTCAGGTAGAATTATCAGAGGAATTGAACAGTTGAAATTTGATAAATGAATGATAAATGAATTGAAGGTCACAGATTTTTTTAATTTCAATGTCACTTTACATCGAATAAAAGAATTGATATCTGAAATGATTTATCTTTTAAAATGTTTCTGTAAAGATCCTGAAAAGTTTTTATGTTTGAAGCATAGTGATATTACTTTCTATAGTCATCCTACCTAACTAAGATGCAAACTAGTTTATGTTGAAAATAGGAGTTAATATGTTTATTTTTATTATTTTTTTTTTTTTGTTTAGATATTAGATACTAACAATATTTTAGATTTAATTAATTGTATTTAGTATACAGAAAGATTATATTTCAAACATAATTGCTTCGTGTGATAATTGATTTCAAATTCAATTACCACTCGGCAACTCCAAAGTTTCAGTACTTCTTACTTCAGAATTGAGGTGTAATTGCTTCTTGTAGCAAAGGTGTCCTTGTATGATTAGAAACTACTTAGCCTAAGTTCTGTTATACGGTCAATTAAGTCACTAACCAAATTTGCTAATTACGCTTTAATCGCAACTTAGACTCGTAATCAATTTTAACTCCGTAACACACAGATTTATCAATTTCAAATTAATAAATGGAAAAGTTCACTTTATAACTATCTGTTATATTCCTTTCGATCTCCGTTCTGAAACATTTGATACTCCCAGCGTCCACCGTTCTTCGAATCAGTTCCCGAGAAATTTCCTTTAATCTACATCCAGTATTATCGGACCGATGAAAATCATGGAGGGACCAGTCTTCGACTAATCTCTTCAACGCGCTCGACCGTAGATCAAGTCTCTCTTCCGTTCATCTCCCTCTGACCCCTCGCGCTCCTTTTTTCTCCGGTTCACTTTTCTCTCTCCCGCTGGTATTAGAGAAACTTTTCTCATCCACTTAACGCAGAAGTTCTATCGCGGCCGATACTTCCTGGCCGTTCGTAGAGCACGAAAGTATCGGATCATAATTAATGTAGACAAAAGTGGGCTAATCGAATAACTTTTTACATTCCGATTCGATGAACTTCGCCGTCTACTGCCGGCTACCTCGATGAAGCTCGAGCCGGAACTTTCTTTTACGCTCTGATGATTAACTCATCGGCAACACGGTTGCTTCTTCGCAACCAACTACGCTCGAATTCTGTTAATGCAGAAACAATCAAATTACTCTTTCATGCACCGTCAACATCTAATTATTAAGAACGGTGGATATATTTTAGAGACGTTGTAGTCCTTTTGTGACGGAGCATCCTCATTTGTAGGAATCAATTAAATAGAAAGAATTTTCTTATGAAGGTATTTTTTAAAAGTATAGTATTTTAAAAATATGTTCTTAAGTTTTTGAATTAAGAGGATGAAGCGATTTGTAATTTTTATTTAATCTGTTAGCAACAAATTATTTGTATATGTTTTATATGTATATATTATTTTTAGATTATATTCTTATATGTAGTTATTGTATTTAGATAATATTTTATAAAATTAAAAATAATAATGATTTTATACGTAAATATAGAATACGAATGATTTTTTGTTCGAATATATTTACGCCAATTTTTTAAAAAGTGTTTAATAAAACGAGAACAAAAAATTCTAGAAGTTTAGACACGAAAATCTCTTCTAAAATCGTTTTGAAGAAAAAATTTGCGAACATGGAATTAAATCTAAATCCAGCTAGTGTTCAAGTAAAATTTTAATGTGGGTCAAAATTAATCCGATCCTCGTTGTACGCAATCCGCTGTCCGAAGATTAAAATGTAATGCAGCAATAAAAATTTTCCGTAGAAATACATCGTCAGGAGCACCACAATTTCTGCTTGCTAAATTCCCCTGTATTGTTCGATTTTCAGATATGAAAGAACAAGCTCAAAGAATTTCGCTACGTAATATACTTCGATTTCATATCTTATTTTCATTCCTGTGAAAAAATTTATCGAATTTACCTTTTAATATTTCCAATTTTCTACAATATTTACTTCAAAATAAAATGTCTACATTCTGGCAAATCTGTACTAGATTTCTAATATATTGTTTACATAAGAATCTATGTAAACAAAAAGATCCCAAAAATGTAAAATTCACTATTAAATTTAAACGAATTTACAGAATATTAATAAAATCGCGCGCCTCAAAGTCACCGACACGAATAGGTAACTGGAACAAGAATTCGTTGGGCAAATCTCACCTCCATTGTGTCTCTGTCATTTCCAATATCACGTAGAATTTTCGAAATTTCTCTATTATTTTCAATATCATTCGCGTATCCCAATTATTTTCAATTTTTATCATTTACGTGTCTGTACAATTTCCAATATCCCAAAAGCCAAACTTCAGCCCTTAAAAAAATAAACAAAGCACACCCCTATTCCACTCGATACCCATTCGATTAACTTTCGAAGCATAAACCACCCTTATCCCGCGTTGTCCTAACAAACTCACACCTTTATAGCTCAGAAAACAGGTTCACACCCTTCGAAGATAGCTCGAACAAAGGGCGTGCTGTTCCCCATTGACTAAACGCAGCCTATCGAATATTCTCACGCAGCTTCACCCTGTTCAACGACGAAACTATCCGCCAAGTATTCGACCGGCCCTCTGACTGATTTTCAATTTGCTCCTCATCCTGGATACGTTGCTTTGAAACGACTCTGCTGCTCTCTTTTAACCTGTTTTTTTTTCGCTCGCTCCAGCTCGTGGCCTCACCCTGACGCGCGCCATTTTCCCCCCCATTAAACGTAACTCTTTAGCCGATCCGGCTGATGGGTCGACGGAGTTATTCGGCCTGGAATTTCTTTAAATTGTTAAGAAACAGGGACGGGAGCAGGGGACGCCTCGGGCGACGCGTCAACGAGGCGCGTTCCAACAGCGTCTAATGAGATCAAAAGCCCGCGAGCTTTCCAGATTAAAAACGTCCCCGCCTTCTTGACCCGACAGACCTCCGCTGCTCTTTCTACGGACTTTCTATAGACGTGTGTAGTATATCGGGGAATTCTTCTATTTGCTTGGTATTCCGAGGGTGGATGGAGAAGTCGTTAAGTCTCTTGGTTATTGAAATTTTTAAGGAGAGTTGCAGTGGTCGGAAAGTTAAAGTAGTTTGTCGAAGGATGTAGTTAACTCTATGCATTCTAGTGTTTTGAATGTTGAATTTGTAAGATATATTTAATATATTCTGGTACAAGACGTAATATATTTTTGTTGTAATGCATAATATTTTATGGCATGTATGTGTGTATAGTATCTCGCCTTGAAGAATAAATAAAACACAGGCGATAATCGAGACAGCGTGATGTGTGCGGGAAAATTGGTTCCTTTTTTATGTATAAATATGTATCCGCGAGCGTGATCTCTGTACGTGTATATTTGTTCGTTTCTTCTTGTATGCATTTCAAAGAAACATAATAGTTGAAATACAACTAAACTGTACCAGTCTTACAAATACAATGTCGATTCAAGTTATCCGTTAAATATGGACTTCAATACTATTTAGTGATTAATTCCCTACTTGATTAATAAAATATAGATTGATTTCAAATTCTATCGACATAATCGAAACAATCGTGACTCATTAAAATGCTAATGAAATTTCAAAATGCTTTATGTAACGCACACAATATATACGTGAAACGCTTCTTGAAGTAGATTCTTTCAAAGCAGGTTGATATATTGAATTCCAAAATCATTATCTTCAGAAAAAGTTCGATTATATCATGTTTTACACCTAGCACATAGATTTGTTTTCAGATTATCGATAAAATGATTTTTCCTTTACATTTCGACTTCTCGAGATCTCTTAACTCTTCCCAGCCTTTTTTGTTGTCTCTTTCGATCGTTAGTGAAACGTTTTCGTGTTAGCGTACATTTTTTAACAAGCCGTAACGCTGCGCTGTTTTGTCCTCTTGGCTCACAGAGAGATTCGGTCGCATTTACACCGGCGAAATCTCGGCTTTATTTCGTTCCAAATCGAGTTACCGCGTAGAACCAACTTCTCTGATACTTTTCCCTTCTTCTTGTCCCATCGCATTCCCGGCCCTCCCGAGGGAAGTTTCTCTACAGACTGCTGGAGTGTCTCGTAAAAGGAAATTGC